ATTTAAATGCCATTAGTCACCCTTCTAAATAAATCATCGCAAATGGAGTGTGATGATCCAGTGGTATTATTGCTAGACTATTAATCTAGAGACCTAGGTAATATTCTGGGGAACTGGTTCAAATCCTGTCATGGCAGATATGATAAATTTTTTAAATTGAATTTTGAATTTGATAAAATTAAATCTGGATTTGAGTCTAATGATGACCATGAACACACTGTCGATTGTTGGGGAAAAACCCATCTGGTTCACTCATGGGGAAGGAAATTTGCTATCTTTACCTGGTCAGCCTATGTGGGACTCCAGACCCACAGCAATGTGGTTGACACTTAACAATTGGGGATGGGCAATAAATGCTGGCCTGGCCAGCAATGCCCGCATCCCATGAATTAATTAAAAAGTGTTTAAAAAGTATTAGCCATTTAGAAAATTCTTGAATATCGGTGTACTATGTGTCCGTACCTCAAAACAATTATCTGCAAATAATTAAAGTTCAGTAAAAGTATTTGAAATTCAGATTTCCAGAATGTTGGATTTATTTCATTAGCATATTGATCCTGCTGATTTAAATCATCAGCAACAGCGATTCTGAATTCTTTGATTCACAGTCTTCCTTTCTCCACATTCTCTACGAAAATACCTTTGCAAAGGCAAGATTGTATAAGTTATGGCGGAAGTTGCAGATAAAATTTTGGACCGTTATCTTTAACAATGTTCCATTTTAATCACTAGTTCCTCGACTTTCTCTCATGTTTACTTCCCTCGTGTATATTGGTTCATTTCCCCATTGCTAAAACTAGCTGTGCCGCCTCCCTTGTTTGGCTTGTTTGGGTCAGAAAGATGTCTTGTACACATAATAAATACTCCCCTTTCCCTTTTTACTCCACCCTGTTGATTCTTGTTTAGGTGTGCTTACTGCTGTGACTGGGTGAGAAGTGATGGACCATTTTTCTTCTTCTCCCACTTGTTTGGTTGTAGTAGAGGTTTTGAATTTTAAAAGGACACTGAATTGCCAATTTACTTTTTGCTGGAGTTGCAGCCCTGAGCCAGATTCGTATTGTTGAGTTAATATGTAAGGGATTAGTTACATTGCTCATGTACAGATACATCCTAGTTCCTACTAATATACACAAACACGCACATGCTCCTCAACCAAGCAAAAAATGAATTCAGTTTTAGAGTATTGGATATTTAACTTGAAGATGCAGTTGAAAGAGTACAGTTAATGAAGTTTTACTGTGAGTGAATGTTTTGGTATAACTGAGGCAATTGATTTTCAGTCATGTCTGGTATTTCCCCTTTTTTCTTAGAATCACTAGTGTTGAAAATTCAGTGACTTTTAGTAAGAAGTCTGTCTGCTATGGATATAAATGCTATTTTTTTCTTAGCGAGATAAGATTCAAACTTTTGAATGTTGAAGGAGTTCTGCTGACTCTGGCAGCTCATGTTTTCTGCCCAAGTCCCAATTCAAGCACCCGTAATAGAGTGTCACATGACCTCTTCCCATTCTGATTGAATTTCCCTAAGAATATGGAGGGCCAAATTACATCTCTGAAAGCTTCTCTTTGCCATTGCTTCATTGCTCAGCTGATTAAATTTAGTTGTTCTGGCCATTATCTTCTGAATAGATCATACTTCGTTTATCAGAAAGGAAGGAAGCTATCACCACTTCTAGGAAATCCATCTACTTTGTTGGGGACATTTTGTCTCTGTCCCAAGAAAATGGTATGTGGCTTGACAGTTAGTTTCATCCATCTTAAGTTTCAGTCACCTGTTCCTTCTTTCAGTTTAAAAACTCCCTTTTAAGATGTCCAAAATATGAAAACATTAATAAAATTAGAAATTAGTATTTTATTGTAGCACATCTTCATGATATTGCTCTTTTCATATTTTCACTGTCACTTGCATTTTCTTTCCAGTACCAAGTGATCTGTAGCTGACCTCTAACGGTGTAAACAAATCCTTTCTTCTTCGTTTTACACCAATATTCTTTTTTTAATTTTTGTTACTCACATGCTTTCTTGCTAGACGTTGCTGTTCCTGATTGCCATAGCCAACCACTTTGTGTCCCCTATTTCAAATTAAATTATAACGTGTCGCCATGATTATTTGGATTTATGGTAACGCCTTTGACTCAAATTGCCCTGAAGCGGTTTGCAGCAGTCTTATCCAACAAAATTTGATAAAAGTAGTAGGTATAGCATACCCATTGTGCAGGACTGCAGTTTCTCTATCTCCTACTGTTTATGTACATGCCAACCATTCTTTGCCCTGCAGAAACATCACCGCATGCACAAAATATTCAAATGGTAATGGAGTGTCAGTCTTAATATACTGTAAATGCTCATTTAATGTTGTTTTGCTTTAACATAAATCAGCTAATAATAGGGCCTGTTTTTACATGTTTCACATCAAAGCCCTAACGATGATTTTTGGTGAAGTAAAAGTTAAATAGTGAAGTGTCACTGAATTTCTTCATTTGGGTTTCCCCCCTGGGATTGTAAAAAGGTTGAGAGAACTCTATTGAAGTTTCCAAGAGGATGAGAGAAAGTGGGTACATAGGAAAAAACTGTTTTAGAAATCTAGGACAAGAGGTCAAAGTGTAAAAATTAAACCCAAATCTGTTACGAGTAAAATTAGGAAGCACAAGTTTGGGATATTTTTTCATGAATAACAGTTTATGTCTGATAAATTCTTAATTTTAAAACTGAGACTTGTGAATTTTGCTAGCCAAAGGCCTGAAGGAATACAAGGAAGGGTGAGCACATGAGTTTAAGTCATAGGTTAGCCACGATTTCATTAAATGGCGGAAGAAAGCTTGAGACCCTTGTTTCAATATATTGCTGCAGTGACTCGGTGTGTATAGTTGGGAAATTCCAATAGAACTAATACTTGTGTGTTAAAAGCACTTTTTAAACTTAAAAGTGAAACTATATTCTTTTATGAAATAAATAACATTACCATTAAAGAAATCAAATATTTAATTACAGGTAACAGTTTATAATTAAATTTTTGCAGTATTTGAAAACAGGAAAATATATAATGCAACCAGATGGAACAATTATTCAAAAAGTCGTAATAGTGAAGTTGTTCTCATTTTTGTGCATGCGTGTATGCATGCATATAAAAAATTATATATATTTATATAAGTTTCTGAATTGAAAATGTAAACTATTAGCTGTGAAATGATTTGTTTGGTTCAATGTTGAAAGTGTTTTTCTCTTCAGATGGATCCAAAGCTTCGTCCGTCCTTTCCAGAAATAGTAAAAATGATAGAAGAGATAATGCCACAATTAGAAGAGGAAGACCAAGAGAAATGTGCTGACAGTGAAGAAGGTAGAGAAACCAAGCCAATTAATCTTCAGAAAAGTAAGCAAACTTTTGTTTATTGGCCAAATAGGTACTTTTTAGTAAGAAAAATCAGAGGCCAAATAATAAAATAATGGCAATTAATCACTGTATTTTGAACTACACAGAACAATTGTATTGGATCCTACTGTTGAATGAATCCAGTGCAACCATAAAATGCAGTAGGTTAGCGTTTGCAGCAGTATTACCTGGACAAAAGGGGTGAAATTGGCTGATATTGTATTAAATACAATAGAGTTGTGTGATCTCCAATCTTTGTTTAAAAATCATTTCTTCAGCTTCTGAAGAGATTCAGAAGCTGAATGTTCCTCCAAATTAAAATAATGGGCAAGGTTTTGCTGAAAGTTCTGTTTTATGGGCATTCGATGTGGGTTTTCAACTTGAACTTTTTTTAAAGTAATAGTTTGCATATTTTTAATGTTTTTGCATATTAAAACATTTTATTTGCTTAAAAAATACTGACAAGTGTGCATCAGTGAAACTCAAATATTATTCAGCTTAATTCTTAAGTGAGTTTTGATGATCTGCAATTGTTACAAGTGGAGGAGGACGAGACATTTTAATATAAAATCCATTTTTTTGAGAGTTAAATCCATTCTCAACTGAAACTTTAATAGGTTACCTCCCTTAATTGATTAAAGAATATTTTGAACTCAAAAGGAGAAGAATGCAAATTACATTCCTTTATACTGACTGACTAGTTTGTGGAAGATGCTAAATTTGTTTATTGTAGATGAGTTTGGGTGGAAACTTAAAACAGTTCAAAAAGCAGCAATTTCAATCACATTTTAAATCCAGTTTCCTGATCACATCCAAAGTGGAAGCTGCACCCTGATGATTGTTTCCTAACACTTCTGAATTTGCAGTGTTCCCATGCATGGATCCAGAAAGGTATGCAATTCCATGTTGACGATATCATTTTGTATTTAGATAGCTGTCAGTTAATTTTGTTTTTAATTGTTCCAGAATTCCCCAAATCATTGTGCTTGCTTTGGCATTGAAACTGGTCACTGTGAACCGTGTAGCAGATGGGCACCACTAATTTTGTAGAACAATTCCTGCGAATTATAATTAAAATGATGTTCAGTTCTTTTGTCCATGTTAAAATCAAGTCTGCAATGAAGTCAGGAGCTGAGTGGTGAAATGCCAACTGAGTGTCAGTGAGTAGGTTGTTGCTGAACAAGTGTCACTTGCTAGCACATGGCCAAGATTAGACTGAAGGCAATAATTGTTTTGGTTGGATTTTTCCTGCTGTTTGTGAACAGGATGTAGCTGTGCAGTTTTTCACGTTGACAGGTGATGCCATGCCTCTCAAGATTGGCACCTCATTTTTATTTGGTATACTTGGTGCTGCTCCTGCACTCGTTGAACCAGCATTGATCCCCTGACATGATGGCAGTGGTAGAGTGGGAATATACAAGCAGTGAGTGTACACATGTCTTCAAATACAGTTCTGCTGATGGCCAACAGTGTGTGGTGGATTCCCAATTTTAAGTTGCTGGGATATGCTCAAATTCACTACCACTTAGCATAGTGGCAGTACCTCACAATATGATGGAGGGTATCCTCAATCAAGGAATTATTGTTGTGCCATTGAAATCCATTTAGCCCATCATGTCTGCACTGGTTCTAAGCATTGTGATGTAATACTCTTCTCCTATAACCCATTGTTTCTATTTAAATAATTGTCTAATGTCCTTTTGAGTGCCTCGATTGAAACTGCCTTCAGGCATTGCATTCTAAACTGTAAGTATTCACTTTAAGAAGGATTTTTTTTTCTCTCGATGCATTTCTGTTTATTTCAAAACACTTCAAACTGTGCTCTTTTGTTCTTGTTCCTTTCATGAGGTGAGAATAGTTTCTCCCTATCTATCCAGACCCCTTGTGATTTTGAAAACTTGTATCAAATCTCTCTTGGCTGTCTCCTTTCCAAGAAAGGTCACCGCACCTTCTTCAATCCATCTTCACAACTGAAGTGTCTGACCCTGGCAACATTCTTGTCAACCTTCCCGTCTATATGTTTCCTGATGGGTTCAGACAGTTATGAAGTGTGGTAACCAGAACTGTACACAGCACTGCAGCTGAGGTCTAACCCTAACAAGTTTAACATAACCCTACACTTCTGTATTCTATGCCCCTGTAAATAAATCCCAGCATACCTTATGCTTGATTAACTGGTCTCCCCATCTTCTTGCCACTTTTAATTGTGCACAGGTATGCCCATGTTGCTCTGCTCAGACACATCCATAAGCATAATACCCTTTATTTAATATTGTTTAATATTCTTTGTGCCAAAACGTATCACCTGTCACTTATCCACATTTGAATTTCATTTGCCACCGGCTCCAAAATCTTGCCAATGTCCTTTTGGAGTTCCAAGCTACTGCCCTCACAATTCACAATGGAACAAAGTTTTCTATCATTCACAAACTTTGAATCTGTTCTATGTATACTAAGATCTAGATGATAAATATAAATCAGCAAAAGTGCCAATAGTGAACCTTGGGAACTCCACTGCAAGCTTCTTCAAGCTCAAAGTATCCACTAACTATTAATCTGTTTACAATCACTCATCAATTATGTATCCATATTGCTAGTGTCCCTTTCCACGAGCTCTGATTTTTGCTTGCAGGTCTATTGTGTAGCACTGTATCAACTGCTACTATGAAGTCCATCATCAACTCTGTGACCTCTTCAAAAACTCTACAAGTTAATTAAACATAACTTTTCCCTTAGGAAATCCATGCTGGCTATCTTTAGCACACTTTTGTCCTTGTGACTATTAAGTCTATCCTGATTTATTATTTCTAGAGGTTCCCCATTACCACAGTTAAACTGATTGCTCTGTAATTGCTGGGGTGAACCTTGCTTCTTTTCCAAACAAGGACATAATGTTTGCAGTGTTACCTCCTCTGGAGCCATCCCTGGGTTTAAGGAAGACAGGAAAATTATGGATAACGCTTCCGCAATTTCCACACTCTTCCTTCAGTATCTGGTCTTATGCCACGTCAACTTTTTAAGTACTGACAGCTTATCCAATGCCTTCAACTTTGAAGCTTTCCAGTGACTGAATTTCCTTCTCTGTCACTATGCCTGGGTAGTATCTGCTTCCATGGTAGAGAGAGGCACAGCATTAATTTAATACTTCAACTGAGTGTGTTTCTCTGGGCCATTTTAAAGGGCTGTTAAGGGTCAACTATGTTGCTCTGAGTCTGGAGTGACAGGTAAGCAATACCAGGTCAGGATACCAATTATTCTTTCCCAAAGGAAGCCAGGCAGGTTTTTATGATTGAAAATGCTTTGCTGGCTTGATACTTGAATTCCAGAATCGTTAATTCAAATTAAAAATTATCATGGGTTTCGGAGGCAATATTGAGAATTCTCAGGGCCACACCCTCTCAACTTTATGCTGTGATATCACTACGTGTGACCTATCTGTTCTCACTTTATTGGACAGAACACATCAGATGGTGATGGAGGAATCTAGGACATTGGCTGTAAAGTATGATTTTGTGAGCTTAGCTGTCTACTTTGTTCGTATTTAACTTTTTCTGTAGTAGTTTGATACAATTGAGTGGTTTGTCAGGTCATTTCAGAGGATGTTTAAGAATCAGTCACAGTGATATGGGTCTAGAGTCACATGGAGCCCAGACCAGGTAAGGACAGCATATTTCTTCCATGAAGGGTGTTGGTGAAGTGGATGACTTTTTGGCAACAACCTGATGATTCAGGATCGGTGTAAATAAGACATAGTTTTTTATGCCAGTTTTATTGATATGTTGATTTTAAATTTCCACAGCTGCCATGGCTGCTTTTGAACACATGTCTACAACATTTATTAGTTTATTAACTTTGCCCCTATACGACCAATCCCTTTTTAATGAGTTCAGATATAAAGTATCGACATAATTAAAATACATTTTAATATTGCGTCGAGCAAGAGAACAGAAAGATGTACATAAGGTACTAAGTGTTAAGATCTCTCAATTTTCTAGCGTTTAGTGGTAATAAGATAACATCTTCCAAGCACCAATGTCTCCACGGTTTGAGTAAATTAAACAAAAATGCCAGCAGCAAATAATACACTTTGTTATTTGAATTTGTGTTTACTGTACTGTCAAGGGCATTTATCAGTATTGCGGAATCCAGCATTTTCTTTATTTACTTCAATCTATTGTGTTTTAACCACCTTGAGGATTCCTAAAACCAAGGGTTTTTTTTTGAAAAATGGAGTCATGACTATATTAACTTCACTTGCATATTTCTGACACTGAGATACAATGTGGTAAATTTAATTCTGGGTAATGGTAGAAAAAGCAGCATATAGATTAATTATCAAGTTTACTTCACTAAGAAAAGTTTGAGCAGGGTGTAAAAGAAACAGTTTTTGTTTTTTCGATTTGTTCATGGGATGTGGGTGCCACTGGCTAGGACCACATTTATTGGCCAATTAAGAGTTAACCACATCGCTGTGGGCCTGGAGTCTCACGTAAGTCAGACCAAATAAGGGCAGCAGATTTTGTTCCCTAAAGGATATAAGTGAACCAAATGGAATTTTATGGTGATCAACAATGTTTACATCAGAGAAAGTAAGAACTGCCGATGCTGGAGTCAGAGGTAACACAGTGTGGAGCTGGAGGAGTAAGAGTAGGAAAGTTGACTTTTCGGGTCAGGACCGTTCTTCAGAAATGGCGGGGGGAGGCTCTGAAATAAAGAGAGAGAGGAGGGGTGGGGAAGGTAGATGGGATGGTGATAGGTGAGTGCAGGTAGGGAGTGGTGGGGATTGGTCAGTGAGGTGGGAGGAGTGGATAGGTGGGAGAAAAGATGGAAGGTTGTCAGGTCAAGGAGGTGGGGATGAGAGGGAGGGTTGGTCATGGGACGGGGCTGGGGGTGGGGAGATTTTGAAACTGGTACATACATATCACCTCACTAACCTCCATATCCAACGTATCATTGTCCGCCACCTACAATCTGACCCCACCACCAAAGAGATATTTCCCTCCCCACCCCTATCTGCCTTTCATAGGGACCGCTCTCTCTGTGACTCCCTCATCCATTCCACACTCCCTACTAGCCCCATAATCCCCGGCACGTTTCCCTGCAATCGCAGGAAGTGCTACTCCTGCCCTTACACCTCCCCCCTCACCTCCATCCAAGGCACCAAGCAAACCTTTCACATCAGACAGAGGTTCACCTGCACATCCGTCAATATGGTCTATTGCATCCGCTATTCCTGATGTGGCCTCCTCTACATCGGTGAGACCAAGTGGAGACTCGGGGACCGCTTTGTAGAGCACCTGCGCTGGGTTCATGACAAATGACAACACCTTCCGGTCAGGAACCATTTCAGCTCCCCCTCCCACTCCCTGGGTGACATGTCCGTCCTGGGCCGCCTCCAGTGTCACAATGTTGCGAACCGGAAACTGGAGGAGCAGCACCTCATATTCCGCCTCCGGAGCCTACAACTCAATGGTCTCAATGTAGACTTTACTAGTTTCAAAATCTCCCCGCCCCTGGCCTCATCCCATGACCAACCTTCCCTCTCATCCCCGCCTCCTTGACTTGACACAGCCTGTCCATCTTCTCTCCCACCTATCCGCTCCTCCCACCGCACTGACCAATCCCCACCACTGCCTACCTGCACTCACCTATCACCATCCTACCTACCTTCCCTAGCCCCACCCTTCCTCTATTTATTTCAGAGCTGCCTTCCCCCTCCCCCATTTCTGAAGAAGGGTTCTGACCCGAAACATCAACTTTCCTGCTCCTCTGATGCTGCCTGGCCTGCTGTGTTCCTCCAGCTCCACAGTGTGTTAACAATGGTTACATATTGCAATTGGCCATCTCTTTATTCCAGATTACCATAGTTCAAAGTCATGTTTACATTGTGAGTATATGTTTAATAGAAAAATGAGTTATAATTTTTTGATCACCTGTAAAAATAGCTTGTATGTAATAAAGTGTGCTTATATATAAGTAAAATGTTAGGATGAATGTGCATGATGCAGCTAGTTGGCCATCAAAACCTGCTGAAAGTTGTACTTTTCTTGCCTATTTTCAATGTGATTTTTGGAGTAAAGATGTGCCTAAGTCATCTCCTCACAATGACTGAACTAAGCATGTTTTGGTCTACTTTATTACCAGTAAGTGCAATGACTTGGAATTCAGTAGATTTATCTTAAGTGCTGAATAGATAAGCAACCCAAGCATGCACAGATTTTCATGCCTCCTGAGTAGGGAATGGAAGACCAAATGACTCTAACTCTGGACAATCCAATTAGCTTCACTAGACAGTTTGTGCAGGCAAAAAATTTGATTGGGCTTGACTTTGATGCATCATATGGTCCTGTAGCTGAGGGCATTCGCAAGAAGGGCTTGAACAACTAGTAGAACAGGTGCCAACATCTGTTGACATTCATTTCAGCTAAGGTTGTATCTTCTGACAAGGACTGATATGATTGGAAAGACGTCCTCCAGTCTAGGAAACCAGATAATGTATTGTTTAAAGCCATGTGCTTAACGATCAAGTTAAATGGCTTTGTCCTAATTTGCACTAAAAGAGCTGTATATTTTTATTTAAAAATACAGGTACACCATTACATTGCATTATTGCTGCCAGATGTAGCATTGTAATGTAAATGAGGTGGCACTACTATTGGAGGAGGTAAGAACTAACTTGGTGGTTTCCCAAGACTCTTCCAGTGCCACTCGTAGAAAATGTGAACAGTTTGGGCTGACTGTGTTTTAATTTTTGACCTCTGTTAGGGCCTAGATGTAGTTTTAATAATGCTGGCTTGTATAGAACCTCTGCCTATATTGAGGAATACCTGTCTTCAGAAAATGAGTTGGAGAATCGTAGGCTATTACAACACTAGTCTGGTAAATCATCTAGAGTTTTTCTCTACCTGTTCCTACATTATTCTTCTGCTTACTCCCCATACCTACGAGCCTCCTTTTTCATAATTGCAGCTGTTAAGTTCTGGGAAAATGCAGCTTAGCAGCTGTTAAACTTAAATCTGATGCTTAATTGGGCTGATTTTAAATATGATTGATTGAAATGTCCCATCTCCTAAAATTGGATACATGTGCAACATGTCCGTGATTTAAAAAAATTGCATGTGTTCCTACATTGTAATGTTAACCACACCCACTCTGTTCTTTTACCCTGTTTCATTCTTTCTATAGGGGGTGTTAACATCAGGTTCCTGAAAATAGCCACGTTTGACTTTTGATTGGGTGGAGGAGGCATTTTATAGATTTTAAATAAAAATGTTAAAAATTGTCACTGGTTTATTAAGAGCTAATATTTGCGATTAATTTTTTGCTTCTGGTGTATTTACTGTCATGAGGCTGTCACTAGGAGGAGACAGATTTATTTCTCTTTCCCCTAACTTTCCAGTATGTTGTGCAATAGAAAATGCTGAATTGAGCAGTTGTTTAGTGTTTTTCTGGGAAGTGCTTGTGTTTAAACTAGAGTGCTTAAAAATTAATGGACAAAAGGACTAATGCATTTATTTATAAGCATTGTAGCTTTACTGCCACCTTGTTTTATGTAAGACATTGTTTCTGGTAAATATAGTATGGATAGCTTGAAATAATCTTTGAGCTGTGATTTGTAACACTCTTTGTCCTAAACCTCTCTATTTTGTGACCATTTGTAGGTGCAGGAGAGAAAGGACTGGCAATAAAAAGGTGCAGCCCCCTTCGACTTCCAGGTGATAAGGTTCCTCCCAAGTCTCCTCGACCTCGTCGAAATATATGGCTTTCTCGCAGTCAGTCAGACTTCTTCACCCGGAGAGGGAGCCGGAAGATTAATGTCCAAGATCCTTACTATACCCCGTGCAAAGGAACGTCACGCAAGGTTAACCCCTTCAATGCCAGGCAGGACCTGAAAGGTGGAAAGATCAAATTTGTGGACACACCAAGTAAATCAGTAATATCACTTGCATTTGACCTGCCGTCACCTGATGCTGTAAGCTACCCAGTCACTTCAGTATCCCAGGTGAAACAGTGCTGCATTGGAGATTTTCAGGAATCTTTACCCTCTGAGAGACAATATAGGTCCCTTCCGGCTTCTCCTGATCTTTCAACAAAAGAATGTCACAGTTTTGGGCCCTTTTCACTAAAGCTTGGGAAGTGTGACCCTATGCAGCTAGAAACAGATGCGCGGCAAAAAGTGTCAAGCAATTCCATATACTCTGAGTTGGAAATTCCACCATTTAAGTTCAAACCGCAGGCACAGGAATGTGAATCATTAGAACAGTTTGCTATGGACTGTTCAGCAAGTGAATGCCCACAGGATGAAAATGAAACATGTGCAAAGAACAGGAAACTATTAAAGCTAAAAACTAATGAAAGCATGGTTGTCCTTGGGCAAGAAAGTTTGAATTGTAATAATGTGACTGGAAGTGTTGGACCAAATTTAGGTGGTGCATCATTCAGCCATTGGGATAGTTTAGTTTCTGGTGAAGAAATGGAGGAACAGGAAATGCAGAGGGACCTGTCTAAATTAGCGATACCAGAACCTAAGTCACCTTTCCATGTGAATACAGCTCTGAAACGCGATGAAGTTGATCCGAGTGATTCTGTTTTTCCATTTGAAGCTTCTGACATGGAAGGGCATCCATCTGTAGTACTGACTCCATGCATGACTTCAAATCCATGTCACCTTCAGTCAAAATGTGACATTTGATAAGCATGCGTGTATTCACATTGTACAGAGGCTTCATATAACAGCTATTTCTGCCTAATTAAAAATAGTTCCTTTTATTTTGTCAGAAAAGGTATATATGAAAGACTAAAATTCCAAAGCTTATTTTGGCAGGTGGGTGCTGGTACCGTAGACATCAGTCTGTTCTGATAAATTACTTGGCTTAATATGTGATGATAGGCCAGTATTATAAGTTGTCTCATTCAAGTGGACTTTGGATCCCCTCTAAGTTAAGTTGAACCTTTATGACAGTAGTTTTATGTCTAAGGCTCTCCACTCCTCTCCTCTTTTAATGTCAGTATCAGCACATAAGCGGTATATCCATTTGCAACTTCCAGTATTTGTAGGATCACTAATGATTTGAACAAGTCTGTTAGCCATTCTTTTCTCAATTTAAATACAAATAAGATTCTTTTAAAATTTTTTGTCAATTTTGATGCAGTTTGTTGTATCACCAGTAGCTATCATTTTATTGAAAACTTATTGGGCAAGTTAATTATAAAATTTCAGTTTTATTTTCATTTCTCTTGACAAAATCATGTCTGTGCTGCAGGAAGATTAGTTGAGTGAATGCGAGTATATTTACTTCATGTTTGCACCCAAATCTGCTTGAGATAAAATTATGTTAGGAACAGAGTTTCAGTATAAGAATAGCCTGCATGTTTAGGGTACCGGTATGTAATGAACTGTGTCAGGTGTCAGTATGGTTTTTCCTTGGTCTGCAAAAAATATATTTTTTCTAAATTTGTTTAAATTTTCTAAATTTAAATCTATTTCTAAATTCACTCACATTAAAGACAAGTCACCAAGGTTTTTTATACAAGAGAAGCACTTCATCACTTTCTTTCCTATAGCTTGAAAAATGTTACTACTGTATATTTTGTATTTCAACTTGGACTACTGTAACTGGAGTCAGCAGCATGGTGCCAAATGCAGTTCCATTATAATGTGACAATTTTGTTTGAATTGGATATTTTCTTCCTCTTGTCTCCCCAAAATGCATTGGATTCTACAGGTCAGTAAATGTTTTCTACAACTTCTGCTGCTTTGTAACTGTCAGCTAGGCTGTGTCAGACATTTATTTGACTTCTCTCTTACTGTTCTTTGTATCCCTGCGTGCAGAAGTATCCTACACGTGTTTAGTGCTGCACTTTATTGAACCTAGATTGCCCTTTTTTATATATTCAGTTAATTAGATTTTAACCATGAATGTGAATTAGAAAACAATGGTTCCTTTTACACTCCGTTTAAAGTAGGGCTATTGATCTGGATCTTACCTGGGTTAACAATGTCATTGTCAAGGTAAATTGGTGCATTTGACTTTCATCTGAGCTAACGAGAGATTTACTTCAGATTGTCTGTGCTAACTTGAGTCATTTTTTAAACATATTCCAGGTTTTCCCACGGTTATGTATTAAACTGCATTGCAGATATTTTCTGACCTCAATCAGTTTTGATATATAATGAACAAATTAATTGATGGAGAATGAGTTGCTGTTAAGGCCCATGAACTTAAATTTGTTGAACATTTCTAACTCTTTCTTACATTTTTTTTTTAAAAACTAAATTAATGTACCATTTTCACATCTTGTGACTGCCAGTGATCATTTAGCATCCAGTTTGATTTTCCAAGTACAGTATGATAATGGTGAAGCAGCAGTTCATTGTTAGTTTGACTATGCTTTTTTAAAAAAAAACACTTGGTCAAGCTCAAAAACGCATTTGACTTATTACTTTGGCTTGTTATATGTGCGATTTACATTATTTTGAGTTTTTTTGTATTAGACAATTCCACAGGTTTTTAAGTTCAATTCATAAAATTAACTCTGTAAACATACTACTAGAACAAGTTGAGGGTGTGAATACAGAGTTTTGGACTGTTTAGTTTTTAATGTCTCAAACATTTGTAATATCAAAAATTATTTCTCTTGTAAGTTATTTTCTAAAATTGCATAAATTGATTTGCTAGGGTAAACAAAGGTCTCTGAATAGTGAAGCTTGTAAACATGATCAACGTGTTGTAATAGAGTAAAAAGGGATCCTTTGTAGCTCTGCTGAGCTCATCATTTTAGCAAAGATGGTAATAGAAATCGTATTCTTGATCCACCTTGATTACTAACTTGTCTATTTCACAAATTACAACTTTTGCTGGGGAAAAGAACTATTTTGTCGTATTTCAGCATAATGTACCACATATCTTGATGTGTTTTATTTTAGAATGGCCAGCCATTTATCTTGGCACCATCTTTCCCCAGTCTTTATATTGGCCGTGATTTGGGTTATAAAAACAGCATTAGCCAATTTAAGTGCAAATCCATACAATTTTTAGGGTTATAAATGTATTGAGACCCCAAGAAGAGACTTAATTGTGATCAAAAACCGTATCCTTTGGTGTCAATTACAATTATTGTACAGTTATGCATTTATTTCCCAAGTAGAATGTACAACTAAAATGTACTATTCAAGGAGACTTACTAGCATGTTGATTTGGATAAAGTTATCAATAGAATCAAAGTTAACAATGTGCAGCAAGACAAAAAGTTGAATAATAAGAATACAATCTTTTGGGAAGAAAGCAAACAAGGGGACATAGTAAGGGTGTATTTGCTGCTGTGATAATATTTTTGTTGATATTTGAATCTGGTTAATCCTAACATTTTGGGTAAAATAAATCTGATGCCACTTGTAAGATTATAGGGCTTTAAGTTCTGTTTGGGCTCTTGAAAGGGTTTCGGTTCCATGTAAAAAATGGCTCAATAAACAGCAAGGACATTGTCTTCTCATCCATCGACCTTTATTTGCAAGCCTTGACCTGGCGCATGGAGGTGTTGCAGTTGAGCCTGAGCTGTTGTATATTTGATGCCTAAAAAAAGTTTTAAAAATTCCTGTCCTAAACCTGGCTGAATAACAACGAGAGAAATACAAATAGTGAGAGGTTTAGTATTTTTCATAATGTGTACAACATATGGATACATTGCATTAATATTTATATGCTTTACATCAACTTTTGTGTGGAAATGTGCCCAAAACATTCTCTACATCTTTGGAGAGTACAAAGTATGTAAATTCAGGCACTCATGGGCATGTAACGGTTATGTGCTATTTCATTCAAGAGAGGCATAAATTTGCACAGAAGTTTAGCACCTTTTTTTAAAAAAAAGTGTTGCTGTAATGGTCCAAGATGGCAAATTAATCACTTATTGGCTCTCCTTAACCATCACTGCTTGCCCTCATCTCAAACATTAGATCCTGACTAATAGTGGGCTTTGTGCTAGTTTGGCCTGCAGTGTATATTTTAAAGAAACCAAAACACACAGTTGAGGTGTAATGTATAATGTAAGGGGACTCCAGCTTTTACCTGGTTTATGATTACAATGTCACAATTTAATTCAAAGTAAGATTTTTGCAATAGATAATGCATCAGAATTTTTGCATTCTATTGTGGGGAAACAGGTATTTCAGTACCAAACCAGTCGGAAACCAAATGGAATCTCATTTTGAAATGCCTTCTGGTTTTCATTTTGATCCATGATGTCATTGATGTGTACCATAAGCAAAGCTGGGCATCCAAAGTCCTCCAGCCTTACAAACTGTTACAAAGAAATGCATTTGCAACAAAGTTGCATTGCACGGTTGTTAGTGTGTAGCTGAGTTCAAGGTCATTTGGTTTTATGAATATTTGGATGAACACCAACAAATAATAGTGATTGATGTAAAAAGGCCCACTTTCTTAATATGACTCTGTATTTCTAATACAGAATGTAATGTATAATATTGTGTAGAATAGAATGACAGGAATCTGATGGTTTGGCTTCACTTTGTGATTGCACAAAAGATATTGTACAGAAAGGCATGTAGCTTTTGTAAATTATTTTGAATTTCTGTATATTTGATTTTCTTTTCCACTAATGACACAGGAAGCTTTTTGCCCTCGCATTTCATTGCAAGAATTTCAGACTGCTTATACTGCAATTTTTCATGGGGTTGGGAGCGGGTATCTTATCCAAAATGATAGGATAGAACTCCATTCAAATGTAATGCTTGCTTATATGGCATATATTTCAGGCATGTTTTTCATTGAAAGATGCAACTTGATTATTTCTGATCTTGAAGGAATTACAACCAAATGATAAACACCATGTTTCAAATGTACTTTCTGTTTGTAATATAGAAGTTGTTGCAAAGTTGAAGATATAGCTTAAATGTTCTCAAAGTATCATTCCAATTGATTGCAAGTATCATAGTATCAGCATTGGCTCATATTCTGCCCGAGTCTGAAGGTTGTAGATTCAAGTCTCATTTCTTTTAAGCACATTCTCCACGTTGACACTTCAGTGCAGTACTGAGTACGTTGCATTGCTGGGTGTGTCATTTTTCCGTGGAGATATTAACAAATCTTGTACCGGATGGTTTGCATCTACCCTACAATAACAAGTGTTGTTTTCCCTGCTGTCCTGACCAATATTTTTTCCCCTGTACTAATCATTTTGGGGCAAGGAAAAGGCAGATAACATAAACTCTCCTGTTGCTGTAATTGATTATCCAAATTGGCTACTGGATTCCCTACTTTACAGCAGTAACTACAATTCAAAAGTATTTATTCCATTGGCTGTAAAGCACTTGGAATATCTAGAGGCCATGGAAAGGCAGTTGCTTCTGATCAAAGTGCAGTGTTGAAATGACTTTTATGCTTTAGTTCAGAATTTCGTTTTACGTAATGTTTGATACATGTAGATTGTAGCTTTTGAATTGAAGCACAGGTTTTTTTTGTTAGATACTTCTCCGTCTCTTATGGCTTTTCCATATATCTGAGAGTGTTGCTCAATATATGGATGTTAGAAGTATTTCACACATGCACTTAATTTTTTTTCACCCTATATCTGACAATGCAGGAATTTAGTTTGGGAAAACCAATGTTGGCACGTTTGAATACCAGATATGCTGTGCAACTGAAGCACTAGTCTGTGCATTTTTTAAATAGACTTTCTGGAGGGAGTGTGCAGAAGGACAAGGAGGATACACATCCGCAGCCTGCTTTGTAACACTGGGTCATGTAATCATTTGCAGTTGTCTGAAGAACTTGCTACACTATGCTGCACGTAAGTTTTATATACATAAAAATGTACCGACCTGAAATAAATATCTGACTTTCACAACCTATGCTCAGGAAAAGCAATTATCAATTCTATTTTTTGCTGAAATAAGCACTCACACAGTGATCTGCTGGGAAGTTCCAGCTAAGTCTTGTATCAACTATAGGTTGAGAAGCAGAAGGTTGGCAGCAGCTTTATTCAACTCTAAATCTATTTGCAGCCTACCAAGAATTTACAGAAGTGATAAATTTGGATCAATAATTTTTCCAGGATGGTTTATTATGTGTATGAATGGGAATTGCTTTGTGATTCAGCTGTTGATCAGGTGCAACATGAACAGCCGTTTGTTTATTTTCATGCAGGAGGATTTCTTTGTGTAGATTAGCCCTAAATTTTGAGCTATCTATTTAAATAATGGTGACGAGTTCACAAATAGATTTCCTGCACCTGGTGAAATTTTTCCCTAAATGTATATTATTGTGCACCATGCATTTTTCATTAACACAGTTCGGCAAGGTGGAAGTGCATAATTTTGGTAACAAATTTCAATGTATTGATTGCTAGGCTTTAAACTTTTTTAGTAAGTTTGTGAGAAACCAAGCTTTTTTTTTTCTCTAAGATTATTTCTGTTCCAAAAGAGTTTAGGTTGGTTTCAAGATTATCGAAGGATTACTGAAGCATTTTATTGTGATTCATTTTCAGAATTAAAACGAAGTTGTCATTTTGTCCATTTTAACATCTGTCTAGATGAAAGAATTCAATAATTGTTAAACTCATTGTTTTAAATTTACCACTATTTTGATTTGCTTCCCATCTACTTTACCTTCCCTGAATGAGAACATTAAATTATTTTACAAAACAAGTCATGAGAATACTACATAGCAACAGATGTATAGCCCCAGATTGTGGTGCATACCTTGTTCAAATTCAGACACATGAATTTTTCAGTTGACCAGAATGCGAGAAAGCTATTGATGGATAATGTCTCTGGTATTTTTTAAGTTTTCCTATACACACAACTTGCAGTAACAAATAGTCTTAACTGCTTTTGCTGATTTGAATAGATACTGTGTTAATTACTATGTGAAGTGTGCAGTTTCTATCATGGAACCTGCTATAGCCACCTTAATGCATCTTCTTAATAAGTACATTGGAAAAATTGGAATTATTGCATTTTTATTTTGCTTGCAACTCTTCATCCACCAGCAACAAATTAACATTTTGTAATATTGTCAAAAGTGAGTCCACACTGAAGCTTACTGCTTGCATGAAAAAAAACTTTTTTTCCAATGCTTTCAGTTCTACAGCTTAGGAAACTATTGAGTGTGTTCAGGTTTTGAAAAACTTTTAGTCACAATAGTTCAAAATGGTAATTTTTATTTCAGGCGTTTTTGCCTGCTTGAGATTTAGAAGAATTCTTTATTTTTGTAATGATTATGGAAAAATCCCTGTGCTTTTTAATACTGTTGTTGACTGGTAAATACTTTTTACCGTTACATACCATCAGGTTTGACTATATGAACCATGAATAGATACCTAGAATTGCAGTCTGCCAGTTACTCACTACATCAAGAACTGCAATCATGCTATAGCAAACATAGTTTGATACAAAAAAAAAGTTGCTGGAAAAGCTCAGCAGGTCTGGCAACA